TTGTATACATGTACAATTTGAATAATCATTCCATCCCTTTAATTGTCTTATTTCACGCTTGAGTGGTTTAAAGCAAGGACCCTCCCTTCCCGGCCATTTGGTTAGTTGAGAGATTTTAATCAAATAAACAATCGATTTTATAGGTTTTGCAAATACAGTGAGTTCCACTGTAAGTACCTCCACGACCTTGCTTGTAATATCAAGTTATCAAGAAGAATAAAGCTGTGATTTTATGTAGACAGTAATTGGTTTCTTAGTCGTTTATCTTAATGAAAAATGTTCTGGCTTCTACCTCCACAGAGAATGTCACAGCACTCAGGTAATATTTGATTTATTAGGTAGCTATAGTTTCAAGATAAAAATGCATCCATTTACCACGTGTCAGTTACGTTATGGAAATATGACGGATACTTTTTCACCGTCCAACGAGCTCTTACTGTGATGCATAAAGTGAAAAACTTTGTATCGCCAATTAAATATCAGTTCGCTTTTTCAATATTTCACGATGGACGCGCTATGTTGACTTCAATTAATTTAGTCGGCGCTATGATGTAATTAATATTTCCACACAACATTCGTGTTATTAATTGTTGCGAAGAATAATGTTGATTTGTTTTTACGGATGGAGGGACAGAGGGACGTGAGTTGACGCGGTCGGTCCCTAGAGAGTTTAGATAGTCAGCGCGCAATTACTCTAAACATAAACCGAGATGAATGTACCGAGCTGAGACCGAGGATCTTGATTGAAATTCTTATTAAGGTTAACGTTTACTAATGTCTACGGATTGCGTACATGCTCTGTACTACCCAGCTACAACAAAAACAATTACGGTGCTAAGAAAACAATGAGATTTACGAGGCTATTTTCAATGTAATAACAAACCAGTAGGCATAACACAAATTGCGATTGATTTACAATTTTACACCGGTCTACAATGTACAGCAACTCTTATAGCGAATGTAGTACCGAATATTTGTTGCCTATTTAGTATTCTAATTCATATATCATGGTTTCGGTATTGTCTAAAAATAGTGTTTGTGGTTCTACTAACCGGAAAATCAAATAAACTAAACACTATTTGTTCAGTATATTTTAGAATCTCTGGTTTCAGTTATCCTTTTGGTGAAGTGTGAATTGTTGATTACGTTATATTATCATTGTGTTGGGTGTTTTTGCGTTTTGGTTGATTTTATCAAATAAATAAAATTGTCTTGTGTAGATGTGTGTAGATGTCTATATGCTCTACAATGCAATATCATCAGAAGTTCAGAAGCAACTTTGGAATTTATTCTCCTTACTTATAGTGAGATTTTGTTGGAAACCATACAAAGTCTATTGATGGGAAACAGACAATGTTACTCACGCATCGCGCCTGGTGCGTTCGTCCCAGAATTTCTCCCAAAACGTGGATCTGTTTTTAATTCTGAGCACGCTGGTGCTGAGAGTGCGAGGCAGCGTGCCGCCGCTGGTGCCGGCTGCCACGCCGGTGGACATGCTGTGCTCTGAGGCAGAGCTCTTGGCGATGAAGGAGACGCCGGCGCCCGCGCCTCCCAGCCGCTCCGACTGGGACCCTGACCGCTGCATCACTGTGGCTGCTCACTCACCACTGACTCACTACATAACACGCGGCTACGCACCGACTGCTCGCGATCGCGACAGATTCACCTATCGCGGATCGATCGTCATCGCGCTGACGTCGCGTCGCTCGTCTCCTACGCCGCCACCGCGATACTACCCACTAATGACTGTTGTTATTGTCGACCTCAGTAAGATGACACTCTCAGTCGCTATTATATAAATCTTCTTTGTCGTCAGTCTGCTTTTTTGTATATATAAATAATTAATATTTCAGGCTAATCTCTTATTGGATTAAACATTCTATCACTCCGACATACATATGTTCAGATAACTTTATCACAATGTCCTTATCGACAGCAATATTTAAGTGAAACCTCTGTATTTATATAACATAAAATATATTATCACATAAGCTTATTATCTTTAACTAAGTTAATGTCAGTTTTCAAATCTGAAGGTATGCATAATTATTAGGCCTCATCCTTGGCACCGATTAATAAACGCAGTTGGTGAAGCTCGGGCATTGCGTGCAGCGCGGCCGGGGCCAACTTGTCAGATCAGTGAACGACCTCGACAATGTCCAACCGTTCAACCGCGAATCTCAAACACTCAAGTAAATATGCACGGTACGTTTTTTGTTGAGAGACTAGTAAGAGAGATAATAAAGGGGCTCACTTCGCGATTAACTAGCACCGATGCTTTAAGTCACATTTTAGTTGGGGTTTCAGTGACGACAGGGGTTTGTACGGCAGAACAAGAGGTATGTGCATCGCGTGTCGCTGGGCATGGAGGTGGCGTGTCGCCGGCAGCCCGCGCGGACTATCAATGGAGCCGAGCGACTCGAGCGGGCGCGTCCCACTCGCTCGCCCGCCGCCCGGCCGCCCGCGCCGCGCCTCGCCTCGCCTCGTGCCGAGCGCTCAGCGCCGAGAGCGCGCGACGCCGCCCGACGATAAATTTGGCGCTAATGGAAACTGGCAACGGTGGGCGCCGGTAATCAATGTTCGACTTGGAAATCGAGGGGCAGTAAGAGCATTATCAATATCAAAGACAAATCAGATGTACACGTAGGAAAGGTTGGAAGTCGTCCTGAGATGAAATGAAAAATATGAGTGAGTCGAGTGCGGCGTACTCTGCGTATCGATTATTTTACTTTCAAGGTACGAGTCGCTTTCAAGTCGAATGTGTTACATGTCGCGTTACTAGTGTATTCCCGATTATTGATGATGCCAAAATTCATACATTCAATATCTATGTTTGCTTCAATGTTTTATCTTGTATTTCAGGTATTAAGGTAATGACATCACAAACTTTTTAATCTATTTTTTTGTGCGTAAAGATTCAGAAAATTTGTAAGAAAACAATGTTGAGGAAGGACCGAAGGACAGATTCTGATAGCAGATTTAAAAAGTTTCTCAGTTCTACTTCAATCTATGTGCGACTAGAGATATAAACTACGGTATCTACTAACTGTGCAAATTGTGTTATTTATAAACGGAAGAAATAATTAAACCAACATCTAACTGTTCACAGCATCTAACAGTTTAAAAGAATTTCACTCAGTTATTAATTAACAGTTAAGTTTCGGATACTTTTTTGAGTTTAAATATTTATAAATAGAACGACGTGTTTACATTTCTGGAAAATCAACCTACGCTTGCTTTGAATAAAGCATTAATTGAAATTGCAAAACGTTTACATCTCTACTATGACATTTACTATACTCGTGTATAAACAATATGATAGGTAGATTTAGAACATTCGGGATCAGTAAACTGTTTTTAACGATGGCCAATTAAGTCTCATTAAGTGGATGTCAATTAAGTACCTCAATCTACGATCAATTACAACACCGGTGGGACGACTGTATCAAAAACCTTTTAACGCGTTTCGTTTATAGTTGAAGTAGATACATAATTCTACTAATAGAATTACATGTTAAGTGGGTACTCTATCTAACTAACCGATGTAATGTTATGAATACATATGGCTTAGTACATATAATAGTTACTGTTTTACCCGATTACTTTAGGAAGGGTATTGTTTTTCGCGCGTAACTTGATTTAAATCTCTTTTGTGGTTGACTAGTTTTGCTACCGTGGCTTTACCTGGTTTTCACCAGCTTCTTAACTATCTATACACATAAAAACCATAACAATAAATCGCGCAACGTTGCAACGTGAAAAAATACAATCAAACACATTTTCGCACTTGCATATTAGTAAGGATTTTTTTTTTGGTTTTATAAACCAGTCAGTATATGATAAAGGGATTAACAGCCCGAGATTACATTTCAAGTATGAGTAAGATTCATATGCAACTGTTGATAAATACTAATTAATTTGTTGCCGATAACATTCAGATACAATATTCCTCTTTGTTTGTATCAATTCATAAAGTACAGAGTTATTTGAAAATGTTTAATTAAAACATCTGCCAGTGACTCGTGTTAAGAAACAGACGAAAGCCCATTCACTAACAGAATACATTTTACAATTCACTGTTCGTAATGAAATTTTACGCAAAAATAAATAGACGAAAATGTTCGTCTCTTTGTGGTACTCTATTTGAAGAGAACATTAATATGATATGTAGTTATATTCGCTTATTTTTCACATGATCAAATATCTAATAACTCAATAGAGAGTCATCGACCTTTAAGTCCCACCTCTCAGGTGGATTTTGATTAAGTAAAATAATTTGAGTGAAACCTAATACGCGTGGCTGAAAATGAGACGAATCCAATGAAATTTATGTGAAACACAGCTTAATTTGATTCTTTGGTTTTCAAATTGGATCGCCTTAGAATGATCAAGTTCGAAGCATGCAATTGTAAAAGAAATATATTTTTAATCTACAGAATTTGTTCACTACAAAATGAATGTATCATTTTGCCTGACATGCCTATTTCCGAAAGTATTCCCTTGAGACGAGTACAATTGTATCGTTTTTCATTTATTTCCAACTGTCGTTTATTTTGTTTGTTCGGTCGAATTCCCTAGTTTGCTATTAATGTTTTGTTCTCGTACTTAGTTCACGATTTAAGAGCCTATTTACCCTAAATTATATTAAGGTTTCATGTGCCTTAATATAGATGTAGTAAACATTAACGATGTTATTATTATCTCGTTAAGAAGCTATAAAACGATTTTGGTAATTTAGCGGACTGCCCGGGGCAGTTCTTCTTCCAAACAGACATAATAATAATCTAAAACACCAGGATCCATAGAAAGCCACCAATGAAATCGTAGCGTAAATAGTTGAAACCTGTACAAAGAGTTGCGTACAAACCATAGCACTACAACACACACCCACAACGAAAGCTCTAAAACAATGAAAGCGAGATGGAGAGCAAGCCAAGAGAACTGAGACAGTTTATAAAGCGGTGTGGTGCTATTATACGTGCGTAGGTAAGTATACGTACGCTCTGTCCAGTTGTGCCGCCTCGGCCTCCTTGAATCTGCAAGCAATTAAAAAATAAGGAAAAGAAAGAAAGAACGAAGATATCAGAGGACACGTATTGTTATGCCACCTAAGCGGGTCAGGTCGCGAGTACAAGTATGCGGGGATTAGCGTCACACCAAGTTTGTGCTAGAGTAGTGTAGTGAGAGCTCTGTAGAGGTGGCGGTAGCATCGAGTGCTCGACTCCTGCAGGCGGTGCACACAGTGACGTCACACGTCACAGACCATGCTGTCACCGAACAGGCCGGTTGTGAGTAAGCTGGCTACTTGTTAGTCGTTCACAACATATATGTTATACATTTTACATACAATATTATTGTTTAGCTTACTTTGGTCCTGTGTGCGAAGCTGTTCGGCTTCTTGTATTGTTTCATGCAATACGGAATGAAGACAAAACCTACGATGAGTAATAATTATTGATGACCAGTGTAATGTCTCGGTTACACATTTGATAATCGTAATAGTATGACTGAAACTTCTACTGCTAGTGCTTCAACGAACAAGTCATACACTTACACGTAATAAATGAAATTGTCTACTTCTAGAAAATTATTATTAGTAACATTCATCACACTATTACTATTTCAAAACAAATTATCAGTAATCATCGCAATACTTCAACGAAAAGATACAATAATATGTCAAGTATTTTGTTGACAGTCACTTTCCTACTTTACAATATTGTGATTTTGTATCAACATAATTTTTTTCATAAAATAGTACCTAGAATAAATAGTACCTACTCTTTGAATTAATTTTAGTTTTAAACTGACGATAAAATGTTAATGTAAGATATAAAGTTCTGCGAAATTATACCTCATAAAAATTGTTAGTACGCAGTCATTTATAAAAAAAGTAATAAATAGAAATACAACAAGAATGGAAATCCCCATGTGTTTATGATATTTTTGTAATAATTTTGTCAGCATCTATTATAGGTTTGTACAATCGACATATTCAAATTATGATCCAGCATAAATTGTCGCAATTATTTGTCCATTCGACAATTTTTAGACGTTCCTACTAATAATTATACTTTGCAGAAAAATCTGGGAATTTGGATCTTTACATAGTCTATGAAGGATATATAGATTACGAACACCATGGCAGCCATTAGAGTTAAACTCGTGACCACGCCATGGCATTGCAGATTACAATCATCACGCGAAGAAGAACAAGGAAGAAGACGATTTGTTTCATTTCCTTTGAACAATTCCTTTCTTATGATGGTAGACAATCTAAACTGCGGAAAATTGGGGAAATTGGATGGAGACCCGTTATACAGTTTCCGATGTATGTATGCAGAGAAAAGTTCGCCAAATCAATTTGTTATTTTTTAAATAACTGATTTAAACTTGTAATACCAGAATTAACTTACACTAGAGAGAAAGATTAGAGCTTTACAAGATCAAGTGTATAGAAACATTATTCGTTCTTGGTGAGAGTACAATTTGTAATCATTTAAATTCTAAAGGGATAGAGAAAAATATAGCGAAACCGAATGTAGATCTCTTCATAGACGTCATAAGATCCTAAATATCTAGATTCAATCGCAAAGATTAATGAAGAAAATGAATTCCCCTACTACGGTGCGAAAAAAGAGTTGACGGATTTTTCATTTATACAAAATGCAATGTTTTACCATTTAAAATGGATTGTATTAAATCAGAAAATATTTGATGTAACATTCACAATATATTTACAAAGATGATGCGTATATGTATTGTTTGTAAAAATGATAAATAAGTGTTCGACTCTTGGAATGACAATTTTTTTGAGTAATATCCTAACGTTGCACTGTCTGTTTTCGTGATTTGCGGGTATTTCTTTTTATAAAAAAACAATGAAATACATCTGAAAAATGTATTCATTCAGTGACTCATTAATTTTTTGGAAAAATACTTAATCACCTGGGTTAATTATAACAGTAAATATTTAGACGTTTTTATAGGCACATCCGACAACATTGCTTTCAATGAAGAAGTAATTTAAGTTGTGTCCAATTTCGAAAATAATTCTCTTCATCAATTTGTCAATCAACTCGAGTCAGCTCGTTACGAAGGTATAATGAGTTCCTGCTGTCCCTTTGAGATCGAAACAGTAAAGGGTGTATCTTATTAGGTTTTTAATGTCAAAGATGGGGTGAGTTAGGGGTTCATGATTTTAATTAAATCTGCAATAAAGTCAAAGCCTTTGTATACACCAGACTTCATACTTCACTAAACTCGTCACTCATGTGAATTTGTGCACTGTCAAGCTCCTTTCATTTGCCTGCTGAGTGTTGGGTGACGAGGCAGAATATGCACCGCGCGTGTTCGAAATTAAATCTCATCTGACTATAATATAAAAGTGGCACTGTGTTCGCCTCAATCCTGCTTCATACCGCTGGGAAAAATGATTGTATTCGAACCAGCTGTGAAGTGTAAGGCGCTTATTTCGCCCACTACAGTTGAACGTGCCTGACGCATTGTTGAGACATATTTGAGTAATATTGAGTGCGGATCATGTCTGGAGCTAGGGTGAGGGCGTGGCAGGCATATTTCATACGTCACTAGCTCGCTTGTAGGCTAGGTATTATATTCGTTCTGAGTGTATCATGAAATCTTACCTTTCGCTGGCGATTGAGCTGTTCCTCGACATAGACTTGGGCGACATTTCGAAGTCGGAGTCTGAGCGGTAGAGGAAGGACTCGCGGCGCTGCGGCATGGCCTGCAGGACGAGCGCGGTGGACGGCGATCCCCCCTCGAGGGGGGAGCGCGCGCCCCCCGCGCCTCCCGCACCACCCCCGTTCTCCACATCGAAGCTGAAACAATAGCACACGGTGATTAAATATAGCGCAATGTCATGAATAAGTCTTAATCCTGAACATACGAGTACATCGGCTGATAAGCTCAGATAAGACAATCGCCACGCGAGTTAAACTCGTCGTGGCTCGTGGTGCAGAGATAAATTCTAAACCTATCTGCACTGTTTATAAATAGAATTTCATAAAAGATTAAAGTTGACAATTGTGATAATAAGTTTTGTGTATTTCAATTTACCCCAATAGCACCGGCATGTGTATGCAGACGTTCTAACAGGCTTTAAATATAAAATTATGCGGAATCCTTTCTACATAATATGTCTAGAATATAAACAGCGACCGCTCTGCCAGACAAATATACGAGAAATGCCTACATAAATTGTACTTACACGAGTCACAAGTCATATCAAGTCGTGATAAATAGTTTTACGTAGTCTTTACGTATTTTATCGAAGACATCGATAAACAGTATCATTGAATAACGTAATTATTTGTAAATTTATATGCGGATTTCCCAGCAGTATTCATGAATCATTTAATAATACGATATTAACATTAAATTAGGTATGTTTAGAGTTTGTTCAATGATATGTTTATCCCATTTTCATACGACATAAAATGAACTGACTGTTTTCACGCAGTACGACAGAGCCATCTGCAGGAAAATCAGAGCAACAGGCGCTCCGAAACTTTTGCTATTGTGTCGCTGTCGGCCGTTTAGTACGTATTGCTACCGCCAGAGGACTCTGTTAAATTGAGAACGAAGTATAGAAAGGAAGAATTCTATCATATACTATACTAAGTATGTTATAAAATCACAGTGCGCATAACAATAATTGTACAACTTATGTTTACTATTTTCTGATACTTAATAATTATATTCATGACATAATTATCGAAAATAATATACCCTTCTCATATCAATGAGACGATAGGGTCAATTAAATACCAAATTTATTAACAAAAACATAAAATAGGTATTACGTATTTATAGAATGTATTTGTAAAAGTTTACAATTGAGAACTTTATTAATAATACCTATTCAAGAATTACATTTCAGTAAAAAATCTATACTAACGCTTAAAATATTTATTTCCTAAAAATAACGATGTAAGAATAAACAATACATATGTAAGAATATACCATATCTACATATAATAAATGTTATTCACGAATTAAATGTCCCTATTTAAATATCCTATTCCTAATTTTACGTATAATAGTCTGAAAAGACAAAAATAAACGAATGAAGTTCATGACCCCAATCTAAGTGAAGATAAAGGCTTTTGTTGTTACAAAAATAAGAGGTTGGATCCCGAATCCCGTGTAATTACTGTAATCTGTCTTAATTATAAGGTGAGGTCTCTACCTGAGTCAGGTGGATAGTAACACTGGCGGTCTCACGATTAATTGTCAGTCATTATACGTAATTTCGAAGTTACCCTGCAATTGTACTGTATATATTTTTATTTATTAAAATTGCGGTTTTTTGTAGGTGGTTTTTTTTTGGGTATTATAGGTAATATTGTAATTAATACATTAAAGTATCTTGTCAAGTATTTTGCAAGATTCGATTTGAGTACAATTTTCATTCATTAAATAAATATGTTTTACTTTTAAGTAAGAAGTGGTGAGCTTATTGTCATAAAACAGGCACTGAAATGTTTACTGAAATATTTTTAGAAAAAACTGAAAAAAAAACATTATTTGCCCAACCCGGGAATCGCACTCTATAGCCCTTGCTCGACAGTCACACATTCCGACGTATAAATATTTTCATTAAAATGGAAACATTTTTGTCCGCTACGAAAATAGGGGTGAGAAAAATTTCGTAGCTAGCTCGTAGCGCTACGAAGTTCGTAACCATTGTAGGCCGTAGCATTGGAAAATATTATGTGAAGTGAATTGGAATTTAACGAAGCCGGTATTCCGTAGAGGTAAAAGTTTTGTCAATATTATTTGGTTTCTACGATTATGTGTTCTATAAGTGTTTTTCATAGTATTAAAAATATTGAATCGAGTTCTTTGGCTTTTTGATGTTTTATAGGTATAACACTCTGTTGAAAATAAACAGAAGTGGGTTTTATGTATTCAAAAGATATTTGTAGAATGCAATATTTAATGGAATGTTTTGATTTACAGCGATTTATACATGTATCATTAATAAATGTTTGGTGTATATATATATCTTCTTTTCTTATTTTTAAAAATACATTCCTATAGATACTTATATACTGAGTATGACCTATTGCCATATAATGACCTATTGCCCGGAAAAATTGCAGTAGTAACTGCGATTTTTAAAAACCCAGTAATACTTTGCCCAACCCGGGAATCGAACTCGGCCAATGAGGCAGTATTTATATATTTACAATGACTACATATTTTATGATTCAACATTCCTTCAATATCGTAAATTATCATGATTGCATGTATTACGTACGTATGTACAGCTTGGGGGTTTTAATCGTACTAATTGATCGATTAATTGTAATAATCCCATATTTGTTGCTGGGATTAAAAACATATTTACATACCAAAATTATGATTCATTTGATACACAATGTCAATGGTAAACTCAAAGTCAAAATCATTTATTGCAATTAGACCCGGAACGCACTTTTGAACGTCAACAAAAAATTTCATAGCGGAGCTATTTTTGCTCATTCCAAGGCAGATTTCTATGAAGAAGAACACGAAACTGACTTTCCTATGGTAAAGTTTTATCCTAACCAAAATAAATTATAACATAACAGAATATCGCGCCTTTTATCCCCGAAGAGGTAGTCAGAGGTGTACATTATGCTACTGTACAATGCAACACCCACTTTTCACTATTTATGTTATGAGTCCCTACTACTGAGAATTTTTTAAAAACCCAGTAATATTTTGCCCGACCCGGGAAACGAACCCGAGACCCCTTGCCTAGCAGTCACACTTGCGACCACTCGGCCAACGAGGCAGTCAAGTCAAGTAAATTATAAACTTATGTAATTAAATCAGTTACGCTTTAGCTATACAACTTATAGGCTATATAAATACAATATAGAGAATGCCATATGACCAAATTTCCGTATTATATACTATTACATTTATTTTGTGTATAATCTGTACTGTTAATATTGAGAAAACTAAAGATAGATTCAGTGTAGAAACAGTAATAGTTATTCAGCTACTGAACCAGGTTACAGAGATATAAGGCTTTATTAAAAATCGTATAATTGAGTGTAATAACAGCTGTCTCTGCACTGAGACCTGCATACTAAATAGACTGTCCATAAAAGTTAAAACAAATAAATATAAGTCGGAGGTACATTTACCCCCCCTCCCATCCAAGAGTACTAAAAAATCCTCAAATTCCTAATCTCAAAAGGCCGGTAATGCGCTTGTAACGCCTCTGGTGTTCCAGGTGTACATGGGCGACGCCGATTGCTTATCATCAGGTGATGCGTCTGCCCGTCTACTCGTTTACCAGCTTATCCAATAAAAAGGTCGGTGCGGTGCGGTTATTGACCTATTAGTGGCCACAGCAGATGTCTCTTACGTTGCATTTACACGACAGGGCAACTTCCCATCGTCCTGCAAACCTGCTTTTACTAAAGATTTCCAAGGAATAAACAACTCTGTTTATTAGGCAACAATATTTAATTTCCTGTGCATCATAGAACTGAGCGTGGATTATGTGACGTGATAGTTTTGCAGTCATAGCTTTAAGATGGCGTGGTCAAACCAATTTTGAATAAACCCACCCGTTTGTAGTTTATTCCAATGACTGATAGGTAAGTCATAAAATTATACTAAAGAAATAATTTTTCCCATATTTTTATGACTTCATAACAGTGATGAAATGAGACCAATGACTTAATTCATAAGGTATGTTAAATTGTAAACAATAATTTGTAATAATAATGACGAATTAACAATAACGTGTTAAGAATGTCATCTTCCTTATTACATAATAAGGAAGATGACATTGACTTTGACTAAATTATGTCACTAATAACATTATTAGTGACATAATTTAGTTACGAACTGCAAAGGAATCTGGACAATTAACGTGTTAACCTTTATTTCAGGAATAAGTTTACCTTATACATGACTTAATAACAATGACGGAACATAATAATGACATATTTCGTTATTGTAGGAAAAAACAAACAATGTGATCACCTTCATTGTAGGAATAAGTTTATTATTTTACCTTATAATGACTTAAGAATAATGACGAAATAATATTAATTAATGATGACATGTGACTATGTCATTCATAATAATGTCATTTATAACATAATTATGCATATTAAAATTATGCATTTGCTAGAATGTAAACAGGAAAAGTGAAAAATTGATGTATCGCCCGATTGCATTTTGTTGAGCAATTTATTAATGACGAATGATATATTTTAATAGCTTGTGTCATATTTAAGACCCACGTGTTTATGATATGTCATTATTTGATATAAACATAACAATAGGATTCATGATGACAATGTAATCCTATAAAATCATTTGAGTACCTAAGGCTTACAAACTTTCATAAAATAAAGGTGTGTTTATGGCTGTAATTAAAGTAATATACATACATTTTTATCAATGTTTTCTAAGACGTTACGAGGACAACATGTAATTTATATGTATGTACCTATAGCAAAACAGATTATCTGGTTGAAAAAAAATATATTAATAGAAATTGTACATTTATACTTTTTGTTATAGGTTTTTGAAGATACATTTATCCCATCTATTTTTTTTTTGTAAAATATAATAATTTTAAATTGTCAAATTATATTAACAAATTTAGAAACACGGGTACATAAGACCTATATTTAATTCCCATTAACACAAGCGTTGATTACACGTAAAAAACACCGCAAGATTTCCCGGAGAACCTTTTGTAAAGGTGTAAAAGGAGTAAAATCAATGATTATAAAAAGGGCGCATCACACGTGTAATTTACCCTGAGCTATTTATATTATACCTGCCGGTGGTACGCCTCCGA